TTCTACGGTGCTAGAGCTTGGGTGTTGACGTAAAAGAACAAGAATATACTCACATCCTCATTCCAAACTACGGAGACCAATTTCTGCCAGTATGAAAAACTCAAAAGTCAATTACACGGTGAACTTACCAGTTATTGTTTATTTTGAATTTAAAATTTGAACATTTATTGAGATATTATGCCGCTTGTTACTGCTAAATATGCAATTATAAAATGTGAGGTTTATATACCCATTTTATTCGGGAGTGGGTAAAAGATAAAAAGTTTCCCAGTTTGGAAGAGTTTCAAAAAAAAGTGGGTTAGAGAGATAATAAGAAACAAAAGTTGATAATGCAGTTAAATTACAAAAAGATAAAAAAAGCATGTTAAGTTTTATTTATTCTTTTGAATCGAAGGAAAGTGAAAAAAAACTAAGAAACACTTCCAGTAAAGATATCTAGTATAAATCAAGAACATGTCACATGTTTTTTTTTTATATATTGTATGTGTCATAGCTCAGAACAAAATAAGTGATTAGAGAAGTTGCATAAAAGTTATTTTTTAATTAGAAGTCGATTTCGAACTCAACTCTCAAGAAACTCCGATATTTCTTTTAACTTAAGTAACTTTAAGATGATGTTATATATTTGATATCCTAAAAGAATTAGATAAGAAAATTGTTAGCGTCAGCATATGACACTATTTGACGCTAAGCATATATCTCTTTCAACTTCTTTGATGTTTTTTTTCTTCCGTTGCATTGATTATGACTGACTCATATGAGTTTATTGTCTTAATGTTTTTTTTCGTTATTACTTCATTCCCTTTTATCTTCAATTATTTAAATTACAAAGGATGAGTGTGGTAAACCAACAGTTAGTATCTCAATTGAGCTAATGAAAATTATTAAGTGGTAAGTATTTGTACAATTGAAGAGCATACCACGATCGGTTTCAATCTTGCTCAAGGATCTCTTCAGGTGAATTCAATAAATCTTAATCGATTACGATAATTAATTTAAATGTCTTCTACATTGTTCTATGAGGGTGTGGGTGTCTATGTGAGTGTAGATGCGAGTGGATGTATCTTGTTTTTACTACACCAATAACGACACACCCACATCCACCCCAGGATCGAGTCCAAAGTTTTATTTTTTACCCGAACTGGGACGGGACTAAAATTCTCATCCGATCGCGGCCATTATTTTGGGTGTGAGGGTGTGAGGGTATGAGAATGTCTTTGTCATTTCAGAAGAGTGATATCCACACCCATCCTTTATATATTTATTCAATTATTTATTTACTTATTCATTTATTTATTCACTTACTCTGTTTATCTGGTTCTTTACAATTATCATTGTTAATTCACGCATTTATTAAAGACATCTACATCCACACCCTCCTCACTCAATTTGTTTTCATTAAGATAACATAATAACAAATTTTTGCATGTAATAATCAATTAAAACAAAAAAAGACAATCATGAAAAATATTTTTTCATATAAGAAAGGCTAGCCCTAAGGCAATATTTCTTAATAGTATCATTACTATTTCCCATATTTGAAAAAAATATGATTATCATAGCAAAAATAACCAATGGTCAAGCATATAAGGGAAATGTAGATCATAAGTGATACTCATAATAACTAGCAAGGACATGTGCATTTGACAATTAGTTTTCGTAACAGTATGAAAGCAAAATTTACCATTTCATTATTCTGCTGTCAATCAATATAAGTCCTACAACACTAAATTGACATTCTTGAGGGTGTGAGTGTCGACGTAAAGATTGATCTCTTTTCCGCTAATACCTACATACACTCACACCCGCATCCATAGTTTGAGCAGACGTTATAGAGCCTTCAAATCAACGAATAACTTCGCCATGCCTTGTGATATTTTAAGAAAAATGTTTGATAATCATTTTTAGTCAAATCTTCCGTTTAATAGTTAGGTGTAGCAAACTCCAAGTTTTGATTGAATATTGAAGAAAAAGTATCAGAAAAACAGAATGAGAAATGTTGTCAGCCAAAAAATAGGTTTAGCTGTCGGAATCGCCATTTGTAGCGATTCTTGAGTTTATTATTCAAAAGAGTTTCTGTTTCTCATCTATGCATCGTTTTTTATGACAATAATTAAATAAGAAAGATCAAACAATGTGTATGATAAGATAGAACACTGCCATATAATGAATTTATTAGTGATGGATCATTATCTAAGATAGAAATATAGTCGAATAGGATGAGTGAGAAAGATAGCGCCTTGATGAGCATACTATATAATGAAGTGATAAATAAGGATTCAAACAACTATATACTTGAAGTAAACAATTCATGTCAGATGTAACAGTTATTATAGTTTATCATTGATTCAAACCAACTTGTCATCGTCAGGAAAACGTTGAATTCGATTCGATTCCCAATCGATTATATTTCGCATGGATTTGTTTCAGTGTCTGAATATTATTTATTAGTGTATTTATTTTAATATTCTACTTCATGATAGGGTATTGAAATAAAATTATTTGTACGAACATTTCTATATCTGCAATACTGTGATGCAAAATTACAAATTAGAACATATTATTATTATTATTATTATTATTATACCAATTTGTAGGGAAATAGATATTTTAAAAAATTCTACTATTTCACTTTGTTTTTGCCATTCGACAAAGTCTAATAATTTTAGTTTTTTCTAGATCATCATTTTTCGGAGAAAGATATTCTTTAAATAAAAAGTGTTTTACGTCGAAAAAGGCGTTTGATATAATGCGCATGACTGAATTTAGATAAAAGCAATATTTAATTTTTACATCTTCACAAAGAAGCCTTGTAGAGGTAATCAAAAGCTGTTTGTTCTCCATTCAAACTGATGATTTCAGGGTGTGGGTGTGGGTGTGGGTGTGGGGGGGGGGTGGGTGTGGGTGTCGGGTATCGGGTGTGGGTGTGATTGTGGGTCTGGGTTAAAAAATCAGTTGCACACACAGCCACAGCCACACCCATACCCACACCCACAGCACACATCCACACCCACACCCCACACCCAGAATGCGACCACACATTCATTTACCGTGCAACCATGTGTCAGCCTCAGTGGCAAACTTGTCGGACCACTTTTTCTTTGTTTAAAAGAACCCGCTGGTTATTTAAGTGAAAATGTTCGAGTAAGATTCTCACATGTAATGATCTCTTTTTTTTCGTAAGTGTAGTTCGAAAAATACATCTTGATTTTTATTGAATATTTCAGGGTCGTTTATTCAAAGCTCCTAATATAGTGTATCGTGTAGTAAATCTGGCAAACTCACGACTGATCTTGTGAAATTTTGGCGAGATAATGTTCTACTTCCTTCCATTGCTTCTCATCATACTCTTCTCATCTCTGACTGCTGGCCTGGTCAAAGTAATATTACAGGTATTTACGACAATATTAACAAACTTTATCGGCTTGAATTACCTAAACATACCACCACACAAATTCAGCCGTTGGATTTATTTTACAATAATCAGTACAAATATATAGCTCGTCGTATGTTCGATCGAGTACTACTTGATGGTCTTGATATTAATTTAAGTGAACGTAATTCTATCATTCGTAGCCAATCTCTCATTTATAATCAGCTATGTGCACCTGTTTTTCAAAAAATGCTACAGTATGCATGGCACACAAGTGGATATATAGACGATCATCCCGGTTCTTTTCTAACTTTTAAACAAGTGTGCTTTACATTTCATAACATTTCAGGCAATGGTAGCTGCTGTGCATCGTCTCCCTTTATTTGTTGCAGTTGGTGTAGAAATAACTTTTGCTTCCAACATTTCTTTTCTGATTATCATTTTCATCATAATTTATATGATTTATCTTAAAGTAGTTGTGATGCGGCACATACATTAGCTATTTTTTCATTTTTCTTCTTTCGGTACGCAATGCTACCGATACACATGGTTAAAATTAGGTCAGATATGAGAATGAATATACTATTGTGAAAGACTACGATTATCTTACAATTCTAGGAAATACTAGATGTAATGACATATATCACACTAAAATAAAATGTGTCGTATATATGTGTCGCACAAGAATGTGTCGCAGACTCCATTACAAAAATGTGTCGTACAAAAATGTGTCGCATTATAGATGTGTCGTAGCCTATATGTCAATCGTTCATTCACCGATTTGTTTCGCGAGTGCAGCTGCATATAACCGGGCCTATTGGACGTACTTGACTTATACATTTTCGTATGTCTTTTTTTTCTAGATTATTTCTCGACCATTTATTATTCGAGAACATGTCGAGAGGTCACTAGATGATCGAGAATGGACTGCCTCGAAGTAGTCTGATCGAGATCAAATGGTCTCGAGGCAGCTAGATCTTACGATCTACCGTCTCGAACTCCAAGAATAGGTGCTACTGTTTGAAACTAACTAAAAAAATAGTAACTATTCGAATTTTCAAAAAAAAAATAATTCTCGTGCCGAAAAATGGATTCGAACCACGCGGTAAAAATGTGTCGCATGTGTCGCACAAGAATGTGTCGTACGTCCGCTGGAAGAAATGTGTCGCAACGAGCTCCTCGTGTCGCATATTAATGTGTCGTACATTGTGTCGCAAAGTGAGACACATGCGACACATTTTATCTTAGTGTGTAGAACGACATTATTATTGTCTAAAGTTAATAATTGCATCTTCTCAAGGTTGTCTGAGCTCAAATTCTCACATTGTGTCCTACATGACTAATACTATTTGTCACAAAAATCTTGGTTCATTTCCGTATGTATTGTTTGGCATATTATTTTTTGCTGATAAAATAACCCTTATAATTATGATAATAAAAATGCTCTAGCGGCTCAGAAAGAAGCCAGAAACCCGAACTTTTTTTACCGTAAGCATAACTCACTACGGGCTACAAGATGCACGAAACCCCGATTGAAAAGCGCTCCCGCACCTTGAAAGGTTTCCTAGTTAGTTAGAAAAAAAAACACGAATCATGATTAAATACTTGTTGATTTTACTCTTATTTAATGGTGAATTATATTATTGTACCAAACAAAGGTTTATTAGTAACAATATCATTGATCGTCCCAGATCACCCATACATTACCGATATTTTGCTGTTCAACATGGAGATAAATTTAAATTGCTTGGTTACTGTAATCAAGTTCGATTAACATCTCCGAGGACAAGATGTTTAGAAAAAAATCAATCATAAATATAATTTGTTTCAAACGAATGTTAATGAAGTGACTGGTACAGGTATAATTATAGAAAAAAATGATGATAATATTATTATTGTAACAGCGTTTCATATAATTGTACCACAATATCTATTAACATTTAATGAATTTTTAATTTTAAATATTTTTACTATGATATCAATGCTATTTTTGTGTTATATCAGACTCAATTTTTTTAATTATTAAGTATTCATATGTATTGTCTTATATTCATTTTTTTGCTGTTCATTGTTGTATATACTATTGGCATTTGGTTATCCATTGTTATGTCAATCTTTATTCATAATTGAAACTGTCATTAATGATATACAAAATCGATTATCCTTACAAGAATTGCAATGCCAGATAATATCAAGCACAACAGCATTTTCGCTATCTTGGTGGAAAGAGATCAGTAAGGAACGCAAAAGTAACAAATAATTTACAAAGAATAAAATCACGAACAACGGGAAAAGAAACAGTTTGATGAATGAAACGATAACATTTTTTTGAAAATATTTTCTGGTATTTCTCTGTAATATTTGCTTATTGAAATTCCGTTTATGTGAGAAAAATTATTTAGATAAATCAAGAATACCAGTGATATACATGGAATTAACATTGTTTGTCAAACAAGTGTTGTACTCGTTTTGTTCGTTCAAAAAGAAACTTCACTAGTTATTTTGATTCTTAGCAGTGGTGAATTCAGGATTTTTTTTCTATATTGAATCTCAGTTTCACAGTATATCAGAGATGGAACCGATCTACCGGTAAAATATCGAACTAAAGACAGAAGGCTGAGGACTAAAATAAAACCTTTTTCCATAGTGTCTCTTGAGGATTGCCTTCGTACCTTCACGGATACTGACTTAACGCTTCATTGTTGATAATAACAGTCTTATTGAAGGATATCGTAGAAACGGTTTGTTAAACCAACTCCTGTGTAATCAGAGGGATTAGCCTTGGTGCCAACTGTTTTCTTTTATGTGGACAGTATCATAGAACAGGAAAGTGCAAGATATGGACTGGAAAAAATCAGCTCAGATCGGTACCAAACTGGACCGATCAGCTACCGATAACGATTCCATCTCTGGAGTATGCTACCGAAATGAAACATATGCAAGGTGTTATTGGACCCAAATGATGAATATTTCTTAAAAAACTTTTTCCATCACTGCATCCTCTAGTTCTTTGTCTTTGTTTTTAGTGATACTTTGTTTTTTAAAAATTAATCATAATCTACGACGAATTTCATCGACAGATTTCAAGTTTCATTAAAAATAAAAAAATTAGAGGGTATGACGGTTGAAAAACTTTTTTGCAAACTTTTATTACAAATTAAAAAAAAAACTCATCATTTGGGTCCAATAATGATCTGCATTCGTTTCATCTAGATACTATACTCTGAAGCTGAGATTCAGCATACAAAAAGAATCCTGGATTCGCCACTGATTCTTAGTCCATCTGTCTAAGGATCATGTCCTAAGGTGCAAGTAATGCAAAATTACAATAGGTTTTATTTTGAGGTCAAAACATAGATTACTAGATTCGATTTTTTGCGCTGCTCACAAATATGAGATAAATTCTTATTAATTTATAAAGTTTTCATGAAGCGAAATGAAAAATACTTAAAGTGTAAGAAAAATCTGCAAAAAAGCCTGTTTAAAGACAAGTCATTCGTAATTCTTTACCATCCTAGGTTTCAGTTCTACTAATATTATTTTCGAATTCCTCATATAAAATTAGGTCTGAAAATGTCATCTAGAGCGTTGTCAAATGTTACATATAGATTCTTAACAATTCGTTAAGTTGTATCATTGCAATCGATAGTAGATGATTTTGCAAATCTATCTAGTTTTCTCTGGTAAGACATACAATCTTTTTTCACATATCAATTGAATTGTCGTTCAGTGAGCAACAAAAGTAAAAAAATCATTTTTTTTTCTGTAATTCCTTTTTCGATGTTGAGAAAATTCATTTTTTCAGAATATGAGGCCAATATGTCGAAATGCTGCTCATAATTCTTGATTTTATCAATTAGAACTCAACTTCTGCGAAATAAAAATCTCATATTCGAAATCAGTATCAAACACTGAGTGTATTGATGTACATATTCACTCTTTTTGAGTACTTGGACTTTCTCTGATTTTTCACGTTGAAAAGTTGATAAATTTTATATTGAAAAATTTGAGATTTTCATTGCCAAATAAAAACGAACGAAAAGTTTTGAAGTACACATCAATCGCGACTCAATTTTTGATACTAATTCCGAATATAATATTTGTATTTCACAGAAGTTGAATTCTAATTGATAGAATCGCAAAAAATTTCTATATATTTGTCTCATGTTCTGAAAAAAATGATTTTTGCCGTTTTGTTGCCGATCAAACGGCAATAAGGTTGACATATGAAAGAAGGTTCTATGTCTTATCAGAAAAAAAAACTAGATAGATTTGCCAAATCATCTACTATCAGTTGCAAGCACACTCACCCTTACAGATTTTTACTAAAGTCACTGATTTCATATAGGATTTACCGGTTTCTCTAATTTGATTTTGATATCGATTTTGTCGCTGAGATAAACTCTTGTAATCATTTCTCTCTTATAGGCATAAATAAATGTTCAAAAGTGAATTCACATTTACATCAACATTTTGAAGTTTGTATACCAATACCATTTAATTCAACAGCATTTGTTTCGAATAATAATCGTATATCAATAAATGTCATTGGATATGTTGGTAGAGCACCTACTTCTTTTAACCTAATTCCAGACCCGTGGATAGATCTTCAAGCATCATTGAAGACTATTTCTGATGTTAATGGTAAAACACCAGCACAATTAATGTTTCCAAATACATTTGTTAATTGTACTGGCAAATTAAGATATTTCGATGAAAAAAAATTGTATATTGATATACCAACTACATTTGGTTTCGGTGGTGGTCCTTGCTTTCTACAATCGAATTTGAATGAATGGGAGTTTATTGGAATTTTACTGGGAACAAGAAAATTATGGAATTATTGTGTATCATTAACTACAACAGCAACATTTAATTCTTATTATAATTTATTTACAAACAAACAAGAACTTTAAATGAACAAATATGGATATTGAATTTCTTCAGCTGTTGTTTATTTTTCTACGTTTCCTGTTAAACAAATAATTTTCTCATCTATTGTCGATCTCTTTTCTATGTTTAACAATGAAATCGAATGAACAACAAAGTAAATCATGCATTTTAAAAATCAATATAAACTATTTTATTGGTTTTTAGTCGATTATTGGTTTCTCAATCTATTCGTCAATCTTTCACTTTCTATTTTTTGTTTGAATTATTGAGTATCTTATGTCACATATTAATTGTTCATTTCAGATCACATTTGTTTGTTTGTACATAATCGATCGATTATTATTCGTTGATTTTGTTGTTCTAATATTTCTCATTTGATAATTAAATATTGATGAATAATTGTATTTTATAAAAGAATTCTTCCTTATTTTTTTAAACTGACATCGATTAACGATTTGATAGATAAAATGTCAAAGAGATCTTCGAATATATTCGTGGACAAAAGTTTTTCCCTCCTCTCTCTCTCTCTTCTCTGCATTATATATTTAGTATCGAATTTCTTATCAATCAAAATTATGAAATGAGCACTTTATTTTGTATATGGTCGATAAGTGATCGTCATTTGATCCATTCAATGTAACTACACAGGTATTATTATAGGATTAGCCAATACAATAACTATGTTGCTATCATCATCTGTGAAGTTTTATTTGTGTTTTTAATATTTTTTGGCACTTTTATTTGCTGCACAGTGTTAATTAATCATGCTTATGTTAAGTTTATCGGATTGAAAATATTAATTCGAGAATAAAATAAAGATAAAAGCGTCAACAATATTGAAAGCAGAAATAACACTGTAGACGATGATAGGAACATAGTTATTGTACTGACCGATCCTATAATAATAGCCATCTAGTTACATTAAATGAATAAAATGAAGATTGCTTGTAGACCCTATACAAAATAACGTTCTCATTTCTTTCTTTCGATTGGTAAGAAATTCGATAGTGAATGTGTTATGCAGAAAAAAAGACGGAGGAAAGAAAATACATTTGTCCACAGGCGTAAGGGTGAAATCCTATTTATTTTATGTTTTGTCAATTCCATTATGAAAATCAATTAACGTTACGTTATAGATGTTAACTATTATCAACTGATTCTAGTTTAGAACGTATTTTATCTAAAAAGATAATATTCATCTGAACTTTCAGAGAAAGTAAAGAGTAAAAAAAATAAATGATTGAGTATCGAAATCGACCAACAGGACAAATGAGATCTGAATAATTCAATTCTTTTTAACATCTTCAAGTTTGAAGATGACATATCTATATCTAATTATAAGAAGAACAATAAAGACGACCATTTCCATCTTAATTGTTTGGCTTTTTTTAAAAGTCAAAGAAGATATTCTTAGTCATCTTTTCTCTTCTCGAAATCGATCAAATATAACAATCTCAATAGTTGCTCACTAATTAGTATTTATCAAATTGTCATTTTAAGAAAAATTTTCAAACTTTTTTTTTTATCGAAGAAAAAGAATGAATTTTCTTAACTGATTGGAACAAATAGGAGTAAGTAAAAATTTTCAAATGGAAAAAAAAAATAAATTATATAAGTGATTGGTTTTGATCTGAAGAGAACAATAATTAATCATGTCGAGTATTTGATAATCTTTTCTTCTAGCTTTGACCATCTATGAAACAACTATGGAAATATTTTTTTTTTACAGATAAAACCAAATAATCTGATTATTTGATTTGACTATTACTTGACTAGACATTTTATTTGAGATAACAAAATAAAAGAAAAAAAATATTTTTTCGACAAGCAATAGCTAAGCAAAGATGGTCTTCTGGTGAACTTTCTCTTTAAAATTTTATCCATTAAAGAGACAAAATTTTAATAAGCCGATATAAAAAAATTTATTTCCCAGCAAGCTACTTTCATTTTATATACTATTTTAAGATCACAGATAAATCTGTGATTTTCGATCAGATCCTTTAAATCAATATTAAGATATTTAATTCAATTGAGATTATTAGAAAAAATTCAAATGAAAAGATAACAATAAATAAACAAGGAACACTATTAAAACCATAAAATGTAATAGGAAATAACACAAGTTTACAATTAAATCGAAAGTCTATTCAACTAAGACGAATACTTTCAAGAATTAAATTAATTTTTATTAATATTAATTAATTCTTTGATTTAATTAAAACAAGTTAAATTATTTATTTATTTTTATTTTAAATAATAGCTCAACAGATAATAAATGATTTTTATTCGTAATTTATAATAAAAGTTTTTCTTCTATAAAAATTCAAATAATCATATTGAGATTTTCATCGAATTATTCGAACGTCTCAACTTTTATTTATTTTCTATTTAATTATATTTATGTTCATTATTCTCAAAATCGTGAAAAAAAACAAACAAACAAATTATCTTATTGGAATATTTTATCAGCGAAAATCGTATTCTTCACAATCATGATTAGGGATGTGCAGTTTCAGTATACTGATCACCGATAAAGTCACACTGGCGTTCACTGAATCAGTATATACACTGACACTGACGTTCACTGAATCAGTATATACACTGACACTGGCGTGCACTGAATCAGTACATAGTGTGCACTTAATCAGTACATAGTATATACTGATTCAGTGCACGCCAGTGTCAGTGTATGTACTGATTCAGTGAACGCCAGTGTCAGTGTATATACTGAATCAGTGAACACCAGTGTCAGTGTGTCACTGTCAGTAATTCACTGTTTTCACTGAAACTGCACATCCCTAATCATGATCTTTAATTATTATTTTCATCAGATAGAATTTATTTTAATATTAACAATATATTTCGTTTTTTTTTTCCCATAAATAAAACAAACTAAAATATTGCAAAAACTGTTTTCAAATTCGAGAGAGAGAGAGAAGAAAAATAACTAGCTAGTTGTTTATGTTAATAAGTTTGATCGTATATTTTTTGCCACGTCATCGTTCGCCTGAAAGAAAAGAAAAGAAAATAAAAGGAAAAAACACAGAAATGCGTCATTGTCTCAACTATTACTATTAACACTACAACGACAAACATTCAATCGAATAAAAAAAAGACACATGGCTGATTATTCAATTGACAATCATTTAGATAATAACTCTAGTGATTTATCTAAGATAATTTATTTAGATAATAATGCAACAACATGTGAAGATAAATTTGTTATTGAATCAATGATTAATCATTTAAAATGTTCAAATTCATTTGGAAATCCAAGTAGTTCACATTTAATTGGAATTAAAGCTCGACATTTAATTGATGAAGCAAGAGAACAAGTTAAAAATGCAATTAATGCTTCATATTCAAATGAAATAATATTTACAAGTGGTGGAACAGAATCAAATAATATAGCTATTCATGGAATTCTTAAATCTAATATAAATTTATTTCAACATATTATAACAAGTCCATTTGAACATCCATCTGTTGAAAATATTCTTAAATATTTACAAAATTCAAATAAAAATATTCAAATATCTTATCTTAAAGTTGATTCAAATGGAATAATTGATCTTGAACATTTTCGTCAATTATTAAAACCTGAAACAAAACTAGTTACTATAATGCATAGTAATAATGAAATTGGTTTGTTTTTATTCCAGTTTTTTTCGTTTTTAAATATATTCATTTATTAAAAGGTTCAATTCAACCAATCGAAGATATTGTTAATATATGTCGGGAATATTCTTCATATAATATTATTATTCATAGTGATGCATCACAATCGATAGGAAAAGTTCCAATAGATGTATCACATCTCGGTATTGATTTATTGACAATATGTTCACATAAATTTCATGGACCAAAAGGTATTGGTGCTCTTTATATTCGTCAAGGAATTAAATTAGAATCAATTATATATGGTGCACAACATGAACAAGGTATTCGACCAGGTACTGAAAATGTTTTAGCTATTATTGGATTAGGAAAAGCTTGTCAATTAATATCAAATAAATATATATTAAATGAAAGAATTCAACAAATGAAACGAACACGTGATAGACTTTATCAAGGTTTATTAAATAATTTTAATCAGAATAATAATAATAATAATAATCAATATTTAATTATTCGTAATGGAAATGAACAATCTTTACCAAATACATTAAGTTTAACTTTTCCTGGAATAAATGCTAAAAAATTAGTTAATCAATTAAGTGATAGATTAGCTTTTTCAACAGGTAGTGCCTGTCATGAAGATAATCAACAACAATTTATATCAACAACACTTAAAGCTATTGGTACGATTAACTTTTTTCTTTTTTCTTTATTTATTCAATTAACTAGATGTGATTAGATAGATTTTCATTTTCATTTCATTTCAATCAATCACTTTCAGATATTTTTTAATTATATATTAACTGATATACGAACTAGAATAATCCATGGAGAGATAAATATTTTAAGATAGAATTCTTGATAATCATTAAAGTTAACTGCATAGAAGAAACCTTAAAATAATATTTCAAATAGTAATATGTTACTTTCTCTTGTTTTTTTTTCGATTCAAAGGTCTTTCATATAAATTAGCAATAAGTACTATTAGATTAACTACAAGTTATATGACAACAGATTATGATATTGATCAAGCTATTATTATTATTAAAAATGCTATTCAACAACAACTTTCTTCTTCTTCTTTCATTAATCAAGATCAACATCATTAATTATATTATTTTATCTGTTTATTCAAATAAACTTAACTAATAATTATGTTTTTCATAGTAAAATATGTTCCGATTGAATAACAACTATCTATTTTAAATTCTAAACTAGAAAAATCATCATTTATCTTATTGATAAATCAAGTCGAACATCAATATAGATGATTTTATTTATGTTAATCATGATTGTGGATTGTCTTTTATATAGACCTTTTACAGAAACAATTCATTATTTATAAATATGTTTTAATTAAATGAAAATCGCCTCATACTGATTTATACCTTGTTTGATTTTATTTAAAAAAAAAAATGAGAAATAAACAAAAAAGAAAAAAGCAAAAAGTCACATAGATCAGTTGAATATAATCAGCATAAATATTTTCATTATCAGTTACATTTCAATGGAAAGAAATTCAAATATTATTTTTTCTTCAGTATACAACGATCATTCATCATTAAGTCATATATGATTAATCTACAAGTTTTTAATTCAATTCAATTCAACCTTCACTTTTCAAACATATGCATACATTTTAGTTGCCGTAGCTAACATAATCAAACATAAACAATTGAAACATTGAAACTTTTGAATTCAACTTTAACTATTGACATTACTGTATGGCCTAGAATAAAAAAAGTAACGATCAGAATCATGATCAAGTTCGAATTAAAATAATCGACTCAAAAAAAAGATCCATATTGAAAAGATATCTTCGTATTATGATGTCATCTGTCGAAACACGAATGACATACACAGCAAGCATACATTATAATAGAATGCACCAACAGAAATAATTTAGTTAAATGGATTCAAATACCGACCCTTAAAAAAAACAATTAAATAAAGACAATGCATCTCGATTTTAATTCACCAATGATTTCAATGTTGCCAAATATCTATTCTTATAATAATAGGTACATTAGATTTATAAAATAATTTCTTGTAAGGAGAATAAAATCTCATTTATACAAATCCTATTGATTTGATCATTATTGTCTATTCGATTAATTTGCCATTAATATATATCATTGAATAAATCAATCGAAAAATATTTTGAAAAATTTACAATCTTTATTATTATTATCATCTTATAATTATTTCAAATATTCAACTATGAAATATATTAATCAACAATGAAAGAATTCTAAACATAATATATTGAAATATTCGTAATTCAATCGATAGAAAAAAACAGATTATTTATCTCGACAACATTGAACATACCATCATTTTTTAAATTTCAATGTTTATTTCCTTCGTTATAAGAATTATTCGTGAGTTTTGACGAATATCATCTTGATTTTTACAGGTCTACTGGGTTATTCGTATTACTGATTTAACGTCAATGCAATGCAACGCAACGCAATGCATATTTTTATTAGGAAAATTGTACACCTACATTATTCTACATGATATACATGAACACAATATGTTATCAATCATAAATAATCGACAAAAACAAAAAAAAACAAAGTTTATATCTAGAAATTGACACAATACACATTGAGCTATTCTGGAAAAACATCTAACATATACGTATATGATCGTTTTTCTCCATAAAATAAACATATTAAATCTAGATAATAAAATACAAGTGTTTAATTAAATATTACAAAATAAAATCATGATGACAGATTATTTCATTTGATATTAATCTTATATGGACAAAAAAAAATCACATAAATATTAATTCATGGCAAATATTCTAATCTTATCGATTTCAATACGAAATTTGGTTAAGTTCAATCCACTTTTGTATATGTGATAATAACGATTCTCATAAGGAAAATAAATCTGCTTATTAACTTCAAATCTTTTCGAATAAATCTCACTCTTATTATCTTCCTATCATTAATCATTAACTTCTTCTCAAATTAATTAGCACTTTATTATTAATTAGAGAATTAAATAATAAGATGTCGATTGATTGTTTTGAATTAATCTATATTTAGATGAATATCATCTTTAAGAAAATCTTTTATCAATATACATTTATTAGAATGTTAATTTCGAACAATTCATATATTATATAGAAGATAAACAAGATTTTATATATCGATCGGAACATTTTAGCTAGTTTTACTTGACGATATAGCATGTTTACTTATATCATATAAATATTAATTAAAAAACACATCAGTCGAATCAATCAAATGGATACGTCATATATTTATGGAAGCAATGATAAATAATTAATTAATCAATTAATGTTTTAAACAGATTTTGTGTGTGTGTGTGTGTTTAAGATGACATTTAATGACTAGCACTTCAATATATATTGATGAACGAACTTTAGTTCTTTTTGTTTAAGATTGAATTAAATCGGTGTGATTGTAAATACTCTTATTGATCTTTGTTGATATCGAATAATATATTTCGTATGAGTTAATGAGCATGATATCCATAAAAAAATATACAATGGAATATGAACAAGAATAATTGATATTGATGAATATATATAAAAGGTTTTTTGACAAATTTCATAAGGATATTTATCATATATAAGAATATTATTTCTTATATTAAATATAAATATATATCCAGGAATAATTGATAATAATAATAATAACCATATTATTATTGATATTATATCTATAGATTGATTAAATGAATAACAACCAATTATATTTAATAGAAATAGAAATATCCAAATTGAACCAAATATAATATGATATATTGATAATTGAGGTTGAACTGGACATTGGTTTCGATATCGAACACCTATTATTATCATTGATAATGGCCAAATAAATATGCAACATATTGAACATAAAAGAATTTTTCTTGTTCGACCTTCTATCATCGACATTTAATATTATACTCTTTATTCAACAAATCGGATCTGACTTTTTTTGTTTTTTTTTAATTTTCTCTATTGTTATTCAAAATGATTTCATAACAATTACTAAATAGCACGATTCAATTAACTACAACTCATAGACAATGATAATAAATTATGAAATCGATTAATCTTACTTAATACAATATGAATTAGTTTAGAATTGAAATTTTTTCTCGAAATAATCTTTAAGACATTACTTTATTAAAATTTCTTCTTCTTCTTCTTCTTTAATCAATTAAGAATAAAAAATAAATCTATCTAATCACATAGATTTCTTTTGTTTTTGTTTTTGTTTATTATTGTAACTTGAAGAAATCGACTAGAGATAAAAATTAATTTCAATCGAGATTGTCTCTTACATTTACTCGTTAAATAATAAGTTTCAATCGAATAATTGATTATATCAATAATAATCTATAGTCATTATTGCTTTTTAAACAAAAATAAGATAAATTTTGATTTTATTATAAACTCAGCGATTTATAGTTTCAATAGTCGAAATATGTCCAATGCTATCGGAAGAGCAAATAGAAAGACTCCACTAACTGTGATTCGATGAAATCACTTGATCGAAGAAGATTATTTTCTATAATTAATCTATCTCAGATCAGAAAGCATGACAATTATATGTGACAATCAACTAATTCTATTTCTAGACATTCTACTAGAAAATTTCTGACTATCAGACTTAATCAAATAGAATACGGCTGATAAAAAACAAAAACAAAGCTTTGAATAGTTGTATCGTGCTTTAACTAGAACAATGAATTAATGTAGCAAAAATGAGTACAAAACAACTTTTGATAAATCGATTGAACAGGTGAAACAATATATTATTAATTACATTCTAAAATATATATGCTTATTACTCTTAATTATAATTTTTGCATTTATTTACCAAACTCTTTTAGGTTTTGAAAATTGAAATTTGTTTGGTACTTTTTATACGAAATCCTTGTGCTTGGATATGGTCAAAGAAAAATTTTTGTTTCGCTTTTAATATAATATCATATAAAAGTGTTTCCTATTTATAATCTAATCAATCTATTTGCTATCTGATTGATGGAATACCATTTTAATTGTGACATGAAAGAAATAAATCGATATATATTCTATGCATCAGTTATAAGTGAAACTGATACCATTTATGTTAAAAGAATTTCATTAAATCGAATGTTAAAATGTTTTATGTTAACAAATTAATCAATATACCAGCTAAAAATGATCATTAACCTCTTTAAATCACTCAATATTTCATTATTAGAATGATTTTTACGATTATTGATGATTGTTACTGATCAATGGAATAACTAAGAGATAATTCGATCGAAAATGATTACAGTGTTAAGTAGTTAGACATAGAAGATATAAAATTTTTTGTATTTTACGAAGCGATGATAGTTAAATGTGAAAAAAGCATTTTGACTATAAACGAGTTTCATTTTTCGACATCTACAAAATCTCCTCAAGCACAAATAGGAAAGTTAAAAGGTTGTTTGTATAGAACTATGTTTTCGAGTAGAACTTACAAAGATATATTGAAAATACTCTTAAATAAATCTATAATTTAAATATTATTCATATAGATTATCTTCTGCTTAATATCGGTCGGTTTTTAGTGATTTTTTGCATGTTTTTGTTTTTTTTTTCAATTAATAAGTGACTTATACTATTTCTTTGTTTTTTTTTTGTGTTTGATGAATATATAATTAATCGAACATTTTCACTTTTGATTATTTATTCATTCGTTCAAACATTAGTGATTTATTTTATTTTTTTAATAAAATAAACTAAAAATATATTTGTTTTGTTATTTTGAAATAATCTAATATATTAAATAGGTTGAATTTATCTGTTGAAATTGAAAACAATATAATTAATCATTATCTTAACAATTTATTATAAGTAATGATGACGGAAAACAGTAACAGTTTCTATTAGATAATTAAAAACAAACAAGATTTTTTTTTTGGTTGTTATTGTTTTCATTTAAATGAAAACATTTTCAGTGAATTATCAGCTCCTCCTGAAAGAATCAATTGATCAATTGACCAATCAACACATAAAACTCGATCTTCATGTCCTTGAAGATCATAAAGTGGAGCTTTTAATGAACGTGTATCCCATAATTTAACTAATGAATCATATGAACCAGATACAAATAAATATTCGGATTTTCTTGACCACATAACACTTGATACCCATTGACTATGTGATGAATATGTTGATCGAAGAACATATCCTTCTACAATAAACAAAACAAAACAAAAGAAAAAATTTCTTATTTTTAATCCAAATCTTTTAACAAATCTGTTAAACCTTGAATACGTGTATCATAAAGACGAATAAATCTATCAGTAAAACCACAAACTAATAAACCATTAACTGGTGATATATCAAGTGAAAGAACAGCTTTTCCACATTTCTAAATAAATAAAAGATTTTCAATAGAATTTATTCTAAAAATATTTTTTGTAAAAAAAAAAAACGCACAAAATTTTGTATTGTTTGTATTGTATCCATATTCCATAATTTAATCGTTTGATCCCATGAAGAAGAAACAAGTTGATTTGAAGATATCCAACCAATTGATGATACATTTTCATTATGAGCATTTATTGTTAATCGACATTCCTTTTTTTTATTTTCAATTTATTTATTTAATAATTAATAAAATAGAGTTACCTTTGTTGATGATTTATTTTCTTCTTCTCCTTCTTCTTCGTCTATTTAAATAAAATAAAAATATTAAATATTAAATATTAATAGAAAACTAAAACAAACCTAATCCCCATAATTTAATTGTTTTATCAAAAGAACCAGAACAAAAAACATTTATTTGTGCAGCTAATGTTTCAATAGTTCCTTGATGTCCTTTACAACTAATTAATGATTGAACATTATTTTTATTTTGATCATATTTCCATATAAATATTGTTTGATCATGAGAACCACTTATAAATTTATGTTCACCTTCATCTATTTATTTTAATTTAA